TGAGGTCCGGCAGGAACACTGTGGATCGCGGGTCGCAGTTGGACGAGGACGACGAGGACGACGAGGACGACGAGGACGACAAGGAGGACGAGGAGGAGGCAGGAGGCAGGAGGCGGCAGGAGGAGGAGGCAACTGACATAAAATCTAACAACCCTCACCTGGCAGGTGGGGAAATAACAATTTTCGGATCCTGATCCTCTAAAAAGAAAAATAAATGAGACAAATGTCTACAAAAGCCTCTAATCCACGATGCAAAATTAATTTTGGAAATCTTACTTATCGGATCCTGATCCTTCAAACTACCTGGTTTTGAATGTTTTTGCAGGACCTTGGGACAAAATCCAGATTCGGTTTTGGGACCCTTATCCTCCAAACCACCTGGTTTACAGCGTATTTGCATGATTTTGGGACAAAATCCAGATTCAGTTTTGGGACCCTTATCCTCCAAACCACCTGGTTTACAGCAAATTTGCATGATTTTGGGACAAAATCCAGATTCATTTTTTGGATCCTGATCCTCCAAACATCTTCCAAACCACCTTGTTTACAGTTTATTTGCATGATCTTGGGCCTAAATCTAGATTCAGTTTTCGAATCCTGATCCTCCAAACCAGCTGGTTTACAGCGTATTTGCATGATCTTGGGACTAAATCTAGATTCAGTTTTCGGAGCCTGATCCTTCAAAAAAAAGGATGACACACATGTCTTCAAAAGCTTCTAATCCACGATGCAAAATTAATTTTGGAAATCTTACTTTTCGGACCCTGATCCTCCAAGCTACCTAGTTTTGAATGTTTTTGCATGATTTTGGAACTGAGTCCAGATTCAGCTTTGTTATCCTTATCCTCCAAACTACTTGGTTTACAGCGTATTTGCATGATCTTGGGACTAAATCCAGGTTCAGTTTTGGGATCCTGATCCTTCAAAAAAACAAGATGAAAAAAATGTATACAAAAGCTTCTAATACACGATGCAAAATTAATTTTGGAAATCTTACTTTTCGGATCCTGATCCTCCAAACTACCTGGTTTACAGCAAATTTGCATGATTTTGGGACAAAATCCAGATTCAGCTATTGGATCCTGATCCTCCAAACATCTCCAAACCACCTTGTTTACAGTTTATTTGCATGATCTTGGGACTAAATCTAGATTCAGTTTTCGGATCCTGATCCTCCAAACCAGTTGCTTTACAGCGTATTTGCATGATCTTGGGACTAAATCTAGATTCAGTTTTCGGATCCCGATCCTTCAAAAAAAGGATGAAACACATGTATACAAATGTCTACAAAAACCTCTAATCCACGATGTAAAATTAATTTTGGAAATCTTACTTTTCGGATCCTGACCCTCCAAACTACCTGGTTTTGAATGTTTTGCATGATTTTGGGACTACATCCAAATTCAGTTTTGGAATCCTTATCCTCCAAACCACCTTGTTTACAGTGTATTTGCATGATCTTGGGACTAAATCTAGATTCAGTTTTCGAATCCTGATCCTCCAAACCAGCTGGTTTACAGCGTATTTGCATGATCTTGGGACTAAATCTAGATTCAGTTTTCGGATCCTGATCCTTCAAAAAAAGGATGAAACACATGTCTTCAAAAGCCTCTAATCCACGATACAAAATTAATTTTGGAAATCTTACTTTTCGGACCCTGATCCTCCAAACTACCTAGTTTTGAATGTTTTTGCATGATTTTGGAACTGAGTCCAGATTCAGCTTTGTTATCCTTATCCTCCAAACTACCCGGTTTACAGCAAATTTGCATGATTTTGGGACAAAATCCAGATTCAGTTTTGGGATCCTTATCCTCCAAACATCTCCCACTGATGCTACTGTAGCCATGGCCAAAAGAATTATGGAAACATGTCAATAGAAAATTTCTCACCCCTTTCAGGAAATAAATAATTATGGAAATGGTCCGGTGCCAAGAAGCACCCTTACATGGAAAAAAAATATATGGAAATTTACCTGCAGCGCGTCACGCCCCTTCCAAAAAGGTTCGTTGTACAAGTTATTACCGATTCTTGATGTGTGCATTTTTATGAGTAAAAAAAAATATGGAAAAATACGGCCCGACGCGAGGCAGATTTTTACCGACCCATGTCGAACCTTTTTTTCATTTCCAAAATTCTGTCGGTGACCATATATATATATACATAAATTCATATATATATATATACATATATATATATGTATATATATATTATATCATTATATTCCCATATTCCCCAGATATTCCCGATATAACCATCATAATCCCTTAAAGTACGGCTCCCCCTCGAGCCGAGGTGTTGGGCCTGTCCACGGTGAAAGCAACAAGCTATGCCGTGAGGTCGCTGGGCTATGGGATTTGTTAACATATAGAAATGTTATTCATATATATATATGGGAATGGATATGAATATAATATGTTATTCATATACAATATATAGAAATGTTAATATGGGTATATATGGATATAATACAATATATAAACAATTTCTATGGCTAATTGATGAATATATATATATGATAAATCCCATATATATATGTTAACTGTGGCTATTTATTACATTAATTGGTTTATATCCAGAATTAATTGGCTGCGGGATAACCATTATGGTAGGGAACAATGGCTACTACAATCGGCAATATAGTGGAACAGAATTGGAATCTTACAGTTATTAACAGATATAACCATGGTAATTAAGCCAGTAGGGAATGTTGGGGGCAGAACCCCGAACCAACTATGAATGAACTTTCCAATTTTCAACTCCCCGATCTAGCCATGGAGGTGAACCTACAGTACTGTAGCTGTGAAAATCATCGAACAAAAATGGTGGATTTGTTCGCCATGTTTGATGACTGGGGGGATAAACTCAGTGAGTTGAAGCAAACATGATGTTTTTACCACCCTAACGATCTTTGGGATCTGCATTGGAGGGTTTTGGATCTGGATTGAAGGGTTCTGACCCTCGAACCTCACTATGAAGGTCTTGAACCCTGGCCATTTCAAACCGAGGGTCCACCAGGGTCCAGGAGGTTCTGAAGCCAGAAAAGCATGGTTCTTCAATGAATGAAATGTGATCACACCGATGGTGCGAAGAATTTCATTGAAGTATACTAAGATGGCATGAACACAGACATACCCCAAACATTTCATGGGGAATCTAACATTCGATGCCCAAAGATGGAAACCATACACACAGAGATTCCCAAGCAGATTCATTTTTCCACCGGCTTTGGCATGTGCCGTCGACTTCTCATGGCGAATGCCTCGCGGAATTTGCAAGCGAGGACTGTCTGTCAGAATGCTTGGTGTGGGCAGGTTGTGCATATGGTGGTTTCCGTGTAAATCCCAGTTTGACAACACCCAACACTATGAATAAATGATATGGCACAAGCTTATGGATAGGGCTCATATAGCAATGGCGTCGCTCTCGGAACTTGAAGGAAAGATCAAAAGATGCTTGTCTATAATCTATATATTTCAAAAATATAACCATTTTTTTCAGCCCAACACAACATTCTTAGTGCATGGGTTTATTTGCCATTCGACAACAAGGTGCGTTGAAGCTCCACATGCCCATGGAAGTGTTCAACAAATGTGCTATGACCGAGCGGCCAGATAACACGTTGTTTCCGCACATAAACAGCTTCCGGGTGGGGTTCTCTGACATGAAGTTCTATCTTCCTCTCATTCTCGCTTTGTTCGCCATAGACCCACAATGTGCCTTTGGCTGAGTATTATCATTTTCCCTATAAAAAGCCCTCCTATACCGGAATACATTGAATACATCTAGGGATGTGTTGATCGGGGGTACATGATCAAGAATGTAGAACATGTGAATAGTGTTGGTTGATCACCAGCCAAGGGGCTTGGCAAATGGGCAGCTTGGCAGTTGTGTTTGCAAGCCTTGATGACGAAGCTGACAACAAGTTCTCTCAGTGCCGTTTCAAAAAAGACAGGAAACAGTGGTGTACAAATGACCATGGGCTGCAATTAGTGGATCAATTTTGCAATATATTTTTTGTTAATAAAGGCAACTAGCAGCACAAGGCATTTTGCATGTTCTTCGCCAAATGGTGCAAACATAAGGAGGCATATGTTGTCCAAGCCCTTCTTTCCTATTCGAGAAGATATTGGCGGAACTCTCTCAAAAAAAGGAAGTGCAATTCCCCTGAAGCTATTCAATTGCAAGCTGTTTGTAGACCAAACGCTCGGCGGGCCCGTGAGAGCTGCAAGAAGCGCAAGAACCCAGGTCAGCCATGTTTTGTTGATTCTGCATATCATTTTTTCTGTTCCTTCCCAACACTCACCCAACAATTTCCACCACTTGCCAGTTTCAAAGAAAATGGCCGAAGATGCAGAGGCAAGCCGGGGTTATACTTATGGTCTTGTGTGATCACGCGTTGCTATCTTAGATTAAAGGGTCGCCCCCCGCTATGCAAAATGTTTTATCATTCCCACCACTGTGCCTCGAACCAGGTGATTGCATCGTCATCCGACCGGGATGCACCAGCAGTACGAGAGCCTACCAGATCGGAGATAATCCCGTTTGGGCCGGACATGGATGTGAAACCATCAGCCTGTTCCCAAATTGATGTTGACACCCGTTCCAAACAAATTGCCATTCAGCAGGTCATGGATATGGGGTATGATTATACAACATCAGTCACCATGCTTGGGCACTGTGATGGCAATGTTGCTTGAGTTGCGGAACGGTTGGACCACCTTCGTGCCACTCAACCTGGTCGTCCAATCAACATGATCTACGCCCCACCGTGTTCCAGCTGGGTGAACCCTTATTGCAACCCGGGCTACACTTATGATCCCCGTCTTCAATTCAGATTTTGATCCAGCATATGTGGGAACCTAGTTTGATGCAGCCTGCCTTAAAATCACCCACGTTCCCTTTACAATACATTTCAGGACAGCTACGGGGTGACCGAGCGTTTTCATTATGATGAACCGAACCAAGCTGACCAAGCCGATGAAGCTGCCTTGCCGGAGATGCCTCCACCAGAAGCTTCCCAGGCCTTGGTACCAGCTGTGGCGCAAACAACTGTAGACAATGCAGGGTTAGGACATGTGAACAAAACTTTAGATTCATGTAAAACACGTACACTCCAAACACCATGCAGGCGGCCATGGGCATGGACAATGATATGGTTGAAGTTCTTTCAGAGGATGCCCCGCGGACATCAATGGATTGTATAAAATGTCTCCACAGACTGTGAGTATGCTTGGTTGCTACTATGTTTGCAATTCATATGCAATTCCTGTTGCCAATCCAACCCAGGAACATCACACCCCTGGCACCCAGTTGGACGGTGAGGATTTAGACGTGGAGCATGTGGAGCCTTATTTTAATGGTCGATTTGTGATTTTATTTTTCAAATTTCACACCATATCCTCACCCCATGCATTTAGTCATCCCCTGCCCAGCCAAGGAAGAAGCTGATGCCGGTCCCTCTATCAGCATGGATGCCTTGTCTACGGAGGACTGTTGTTTCATACAATCAAATCGAAAATGGAGGAGATGGGGCTTGAGGGTAAGCAATCCCCACCGCTGCTATTGTAGTGTCTCATTCAGCATCTTTGATTGGGGAAGCCCCAGCCCATTTATGTAACAATTGAAACGTAATAGTCATGGGGAAAACTGGTCATTTCCGATCTTCAATTACGTTTGAAGGAACATGCATGTATATAGCAAAGAACAACGCGCTGCAGGACACCGCTGGGCAGCCATGCAAAGATCTTGACACAGCTGCAACTCTGGCTCCTGGTTTGCATTGAGGGGTGAAACCAGTTATGGATGTTCATTAGGGCTGTAATTGCATACATTAAAGTTAAGAAAAATGCCTTTTTAACCCAACATAGCCCCAACATGGCTGCATGTAGGCTTATTAACAGGGCTTCCTTAATTACATGGCACAAAGCCTTGACCCCACTATACCCTAGTAGTCCAACCAAAACACCATTCGGGTCTGCAATGAACGTGGTTCAGGACTTCAATTGGGATTGTGTGGGCGACGGGTTGGAGCCGAAGTTCAGCAACATGTCGCTGGATGAAACTTGGCTAGGGGTTGGGATTCCCATACTTTTTGACCCATAGATCCCGCTCTGTTTTTTTTAACATTCCCTTACATGTTGCTCATGCATTAAGGATGCCGCTTCTGATCCCCAGCATGTTCCCAGAAAGGATTCTGAAACTTGGGCCACAGTTCGTTGGGTACCCTGAAAGCATCATAATGAGGCGGCACCACCACAGATGGGATAGGGATATATGGAATTTAGCCGGCCATGAAAAATAGTGAAAAATACAATTGGAATGCAAGGAACACTTGCACCTATTGAATCACACATTGGAATTATCATGGGTGTCAAATGGAAACTAAAAATGGCATACCTTTCATATTTGGGTTGACCCCCCATCGAAGGTGCTACCCAAACCATATGGCCACACTAAGGACCATGTTCCGAACGATGGCGGCGAATGCAGTGAGTCCCTTTCTTCCAAGGACATTCAATCAAATCCACAGGGGTGCCCTGACATGTAGATGCACGCACAAATTTTCCATTCCACCTATGATTTGACTTCTATTTCCCATGCATGGCTATATTATAGTTGTTCAAAGTTTACCGTTCATTTCCAATATATTAGATGTTCATGCAACGCATATATAGATCACAACCCTGATGCCTGTCCTTTTGACCATAGTTTGACAGATCCCCATATAGAGGACATTTGGGATGATGGGGAGATCTATGAAGCAGCGCCACAGCCAAAAGAAGCAGTGCCCCAGCCAGCACAGATCGCGTACATGTGCGCACATGGATTATTTGCGACATGTGTTTGCTTGCTGCGAAACTCTAACCCTTTTTTGAACCATGTTCGAAGTCGCGCAAAAATAAGGCTTCGCTGGACAACCCGCGCACGCGCCAAGTGGCATGTGTGACATGGCCTAAAATTCACACATGGGTATGGGCATGGGTTTCAAAGTTTACTTGGCCTTCATTCAGTTCTAGTCCCGCCCAGCGTTTTCATCTTAGGCCAGTGGGCATCCAGAGCCAAAGGTGGACTTGACTGGTGAGTCTTGGAGCGCTGAAGCTTTGGCGAAGTGTCCCCTAGCAAAGAACTTCAAATGTCCCAAGATGGTCTTGGATCCCAAGTACAGGTTGCCAGCAGAACCTGGTTACATGCAGAATGAAGATCTTGGCTGTGAGATTCCTAAGTATGAAGAGCAAGGTCAGCCCCGTGGAAGGAAACCCGTGGCAGCAAAGGGTCAGAAAGGCAAAGGTCGAAAGTCCAAGGCAGGCAAAGTCAAAGCAGCCAAGACCAGCAAGAAAACTGACAAGAAAATCAATAAGAACGGAACAATCCTGGTAAAGAAGCGAAACCTGAAGAAGAAAATGGCAAGGGTCAAGCGGGCATGTTCGGGACAAGATCTCGCTTCCCAGTCACCTGCAGCGGGCAGCACTGAGCAGCCAAAGCCGACGAAACGTAGCAACAAGCGCAGAAAGGTGTCCCAGAAGGCCCCACTCCCTGACCAGGGTGCCTCCAGCACCAACCAGAAAATTCCCGAGGAAGTCCCAGAGGTTGGTTCTGTGAACGGTGAAGCTGGTGAAGAGTTTTCCTTCACAATTCCCGATGATGCTATAATGGCCCCCCCTACGGCAAAGGGCAATTCCCTGTATAGTTCGGCTTACAGGAGAGTTTCAGAAAATGATGTTGAGCTTCGCAAGAAGCATGGCAAGTGGGCATCTTGGCTTTTCAGGGAGCACAACATGATCTCGCCGTCTCTTTCCGGAGTGCCTCGGCAGCGCAAGAAGCGCGAAGCGAAGGATGGTGAGGGTGAGGATGATGAGAAGCTTGATGAGTGAGGAGGGATTTGTACGTATAAGTTGAAAGCAGCTTGAGCTTTGCAATACTGTGGGAACCTTTTTTTTAATTGATGTTTAACCCTGGCAGTGCCATTTACCAGCTAGTTTAATGTTGTTTTTGTTCGAGCATATGTTTTCTTGGCATCCACAGTGTGACTTTTGTGGAGTGGCCATGTGCCTCATGGTTTGTCACAGCTTACCAACAAATGTTGGGGGGGTAGCGAAGCTGTAGGAACTATGGGGGTAGGCAGAGTCACTTGGTGCAACAACTTGTTCCGTGTGCCAGTGCAAAATGTGCTGGATCACGGCAAATTTAGGCTTTCACACCATCGCAGGTGAAGTCATGTGTCCCTGCTTTATTCTCGCAGTTTCTCGATGGTGTGCCAAAAGCCTGTGCAGATACTGATACAGTGCACATGTAGATATTAGCTGCATGGTGTATGCAGGCATGTGTGTTGCTCACGCACTTGGAAGCCATTGGAAGCATATGTTAGAAAAAATCATATCTATAAACGGGCTGAGCATTTGCAGGGGGGGCCCACGTAGTTGACTTCGACCAAGCACACGTTCCCCTCAGCCACTTAGCTGCGCCCATTCTCCTTCAATTGCGTGACCCTTCATGTCTTGATCTTCTTGCCAAAAAATCCAGTCCTCACGCCGCAAGCTTGCGCAATCTAAGGAGCCATGCCAGGAAAGGGATGGGGACCAGAGCTGCAGTGTCTTGGTTTTTCTTGATGGAAACAAGTCAGTCATACCATAGGATGAAAGTCATATGGTGGTGTCTTAAAAGAAAGACTTTTGAAAGACATACAAACAAATATTATTAATGTGTTTGGGCATCGTATTTGGGTACCGGTTTTGTGAGCCATTCCCATATACAGTAATTCGGCCGATATGTTGTACAATATCCGAGGTTCAAAAGGAGAGATGGCATCAGCCGTGGTGATGGTGATTTTTTTCTACCAAAGCCGCCCAAGCATGCCACCAGCCCCAACCCTGGGTATGTACCCATGCGGCTTCACATCATCATGAGTTTGATGCTCCAGGTGACTTAGCTACCGTATAGATATTTTGGTTGTTAAAAATTCATTTTTCTTTAAACATGTTGCGTGCACTCATACCTATTCTCCATGACCCATCTAAGGCATTTCAGCACCACGGTCAGTTTCAGTGTGTTGACCTATTCTCGGGCCGGAAGGCCATCTCAAAGGCATACAAACGGAAAGGCCTGCGGGCCTGTTCTATCGACATTCTGGATGATTCCCGTGACGACTTTCGTCTATATATTTTGAATGCATGTAAGGTTCACAAATCAAGTTGATCAAGTTGTTGTTGCAGCATGGGTTTGATTCCAATCTCTTGCAACATGGGTTTGATTCCCACCACCGGGCCTATTGCTAAGGATATTTTGAGTCCATTGGGATTCATTCGGTGCCTTTGGGCTGTTATGAATATTGCTGCCGGTGGACTCCTTGCAGCCGGCATCAAATGCAGTTCATGGTCCATAGTTAACCGATGCTTGGCGGCACAGTAGTGCAAACGGTTGGAAGGGGTCAGTGAAACAGAAAAAAATCAAACATAATCAAACTTGAATCTAGCTCGAAGGAGTAGGATGGGAACTGCAAATATGGGTTACAGCATGTTCCAGCTATAGTTATTCTTATATCCATGCATTTAAATTTTAAATGGGAATGTCTCAATATAAGGAAGGCCCAAGCCATCTTTTTCTGCAGTATACATGCCTAGTTCCTCAGAAGAGTGAGCGAGGTGGAACATCTCGAAGAACGAAAATGCGGCCACTAGGACGGAGGCCGGAATACCGAAACCATGTACATTTTACTGTGTCATTCTAAGATCCGGAATTCAGAATTCCATGCATGTTAGCCATTGCAAGATGTAAGCAAATCCTTGAATGGGGATTCCAAAATAAATCAGATTTCACAAAAAAAAGGTGATCCCAAATGGATGGTTCGTGATTTCACTATTTCAATGGAACACCCTTGCATACATCAACTGTATATGTGTGTTGGGGTTGCTGCACATGATGAACTACCCCCACACACGCTGGCCCTTGTTGCAGGTCCTACAAGAGTGTGAAGGAAGGAAATTTAATGGTGAGTCGAGCGTGGGACCTGGTCTGCATGAGTCCAAAAAATAGGTCACATGTTGTTCCGGGGGTACCAGTCATTGAATTTAAGGTGGCTTTGTTGGTGGCCGTCGTCCTCCAACGTCAAGGACATGTCTTGCTGGAAAATCCCCAGCAAAGCCTTGCCCTTTCCTTAAGAACATGCTTTTGGGAATTGACAAATCACAAGCTTTGCGTCTTGTTGTTGCCCATCTCGCCATCGCCCAGATCTTCTACCACCCACGGCTGCGGAAGATCCTTCGCACCAGGGGCTTCTTTGAGCAGCTGACCTGGCTGGGAATGTTTGGTGGGAAAACATGGAAGCCAGTAAGGTTGGTGTCAGATGACCCATGTGTCGCTGGTTTCTACAGGCGGGGTTAGCATGGTGGTGATTGGGTCGCTTGTAGGATCATCCCCAAGCTTAGCAGGAATCAAGTGCAAATATAGCTTTTGTCCGGGTTATTTAGCTATATAGTGCGAATGGGTTCCAAACTTTGGTTGCTAACCATGAGGGGTGGTCCTTCACAGGGCTCCAAAAGGATACAACATATAGCTATATAAAATATATACATATAAACAGGGGTTGGTTATCTACAGGTTTCACGTTGTAGAAGCTATATACTATACTAACAAGCCTGATGAAAATTATAATATCCCAAACTATGATTAATTACTAACCATGTGGGGTCATTCTCCCTGGAGTTTGCATTATTTCTGCAGTTGTTTCACCCGCAAAGGAAGTTGAACAAGAAACTCTTTGCCAAGAGCGACAGCACCATCCAGTATCAGAAGGGCACTAAGAAACGATTTCAGGGCGCAAAGGACAAACTCCGTGAGACGCAAGTGTACCCACCAGCTTTTGGACGGGAGGCGTTTTGGCTGGAACCAGTTTCCAACTTTGAAAGGAAGTTCATGGTCACCTAAAACATCAAAAATGTTTGAATTTGTGCTTGAACTGCTAATTTTCCTGCTAGCTGTCAGAATTTGGCACCCAAGTCCCTTCGAGGGCCCCCCCCCCCGGCCTTGGGTTGGCATACCCAAATTTTCCAATGGTTTGGGGTCTTTCCTATGAAATCAAGAAGAAAATTGGCAGTTTGAACACCGTTTTCAAATTCTCAATTTTTAATCCATCCTGTCTGCCAATTTTCCACTTGCATGGTTTGAAATGTATACATTGGCCCTTTTCGGACAGTTTTAACAAGTGACCTGGAGACCCTTTTTTGTTGTCAAAAAAAGGGTCCTCAGGTCACTTGTTAAAACTCAGCCCCAAGTGGAAAATTGCTAATCCTGTCATCCAACCTTTCCATGCTCACCCAGCGCCTGAGGTCTGCAAGTTGTTCACGAAGAAAGCAAAGATGCCTGATCGACAGCAACTGATCGACGGCTCGCCCGATATGTGGGCTGATGCAAGGCGCTGTGAGGGGGTGGATTCATGTTGAAGCAACATTTATCATTGGTTGTGGGGACTCGGGTTATCCAACGTACTGGTTATGGAATCTCATTTTCAATGATGTGAAGGTGATTGCAGGTATTAGCTCAAAATATGTTTTTCAGGGGCCTCATCACAGAGTTTATCCATAGGTATTAGGCCGTGCATGTGGTCATTGTCAAGAGGGTGTCTTAAAATTGTCATCGATTGTTTGCCATCACTCCCAAAAACTGGTGCCACAAAGGCTGGATGAAGTGGAATCCTTCCTTCTCAACATGCTCAACGAGCGCTCCCGGAAGCGAAAGCAGCCGGCCTGATCTTTGACATGATCTGCTGGTCTGAGACTCCTGGCCCATAGCTTAATTAGCTTAATTAGCCCGCACGTGGCTTCACCCGGCTGGTGAGAGAAATTGCCCATGGGCAGCCCAAAAGTTTGAAATTTGAATCCCTTGAAAAGTGTTCAATTTTTATCAAATTTTAAGGTTCCATATACATAATATACAACAGCCTCATAAGTTGGCCGCCGGGTTTGAAAATTGCCACACGTGCCAATATGTGCACATTCTGGCCACCTTTTCACAGCACAGGGTGTTTTTTGGGTACTTGGTGGAAACCTTTCATTATATATAGCATCGGAAACCTTTGTTGACATTCATGTTATGGTATGGCATCGGAAAGCATCGGAAACAACTTGTTCATTTTGTTTATGCACCGGACAGGCATCGGAAAGGTATCGGAAAGGTTTCCATCGGGCCCTCAAAACAAAGCGATTTGAGGTATCCTGAGGGGTCGGCATCGGAAAGGGCATCGGAAAGCATCGGAAAGAATTTTATGTTTTGTGGACCACCCACAATATGTGTCAAACATGCACCAACACGACCATAAGTGCTTGAATTAACATTATTTCATTTCTGCAGCGAAGTATTTTTCACCAAAAAACTTTCGCCGCCTGCCGGCTACCTTTGCGTGGCTGTGGATGGTCACTTGGACAGCGACTTCAATGTTGGTGGGGCATATAGATATATCATATATATATATAGAATATGCAAATAGATATAATATATACAAGTTTCATGATTGCCTTGGCATACCTTTCAATGTTCCCCAGCCACTTCCTTCCAGTTATACACCACCCAGTGACAGACCTGTCCTAGGCGATTGGCAGTGGGCGTAAGCTTCCTGCTGACGGTGGTGGGCAGGGAGCTGCAAAGGCGAGAGGTTAACTATTGTAAACCAACATGCCCTCATACTCCGCACATCATTTTGTATCAAGATCTTGCCATTTTCCATGCCCATATTGGTTCCTTGGTGTCACCAACAGACACTCTAGAGGCTGAAGAGGGGCCACCTCTCCGCTTTCATGTTCCTAATGGACAAGAAGTTAATGAGTTCTTTCAGCGATGGCCCGGTGCCAACGCCAAGGTGGCTCAACAAAGTTTAGCCATGGTTTGGTGTGAGATCATGTAACCCATGCTTCGTCTTGAATGGTGATGTTTGATGATTGCTGTGTTTGGCCCTTTAGAAAAGATTCTGGGTTTATCAAGCAACAGGATGGGTGCCCTGCTCCAGAAGAACGGGCTGACTCCCCAGCGACCACTTTAGCAGCAGGTGCTAGCAATGAGGAGCCCCTTCAATAGTTTCATGCTGCCTGTGGTATCGATTGAACATTGCCATAATTTGGGATTGTTATCTTTTTCCCCTCCGTACAGCATCTATGCAAACCATAATAGTCCAATGCTTTTCAAAATCATATAATATATAATAATATAAGAAATAAACATATATATAGTATATATATACATATAAGAAATAAACATATATATATATATATGATAATAATATATATATAGAATATTATTATTACGATGTACCTTGACTGGTTGCCGGGCTGTCCTGGCCATGCCACAGGATCTGTCTGATTCGGCGCCATCCACAGTTGGTTGGCCTGAAGCGATGGGTATCACTCGGGAGCATGATTCACGCCTCTCGTTGAATGAGTTGGTGACTTAGATTTTATCACCTACAACGTTACACCGAAACATGATAGAAAAGTTGAATGCCTGACCACTATTATATAGGCCTAGCAGTAACGCACTTGCACATGCTTTTCTATCTTTTTTCGGTGTTGTGTGTATGCAACTATATGCAACTTGTGATCAAACCCAATATGGCACACCAGCAGACACATGGACACCTGCTAATGACCCTAGGTCAATCTCACCTGCAGTATTTTCCCGCTCTACTACGGCAAGCACATTGCCCTGGATTCCATCGCCAGACAGCGACCCACCTGCCAAGAAAGCTAAGTCCATCCCGCCTTGCCCACCTGGAACGCCCAGTCAATCAAGAAAATGCTTGAAAAGGGAATTGTTTCCCCCAGGAGCGAAGCCACGCCCAACAACAAAAGCTCATGTGGCCATGCCAGTTCCACCCGTTCCAGCCAAAGAAGAATGGACACCGCCTGACCCATCAACACGCAGGGTTCCTCAGCTGTGCCCTTTGGAGCGCCCCACCACACCTTTGCGCTGTGCATCACCCAAAGCAAAACGGGTTCCCATCTTCAAAAGCCCACCGCCCCCTGCTGCAGCGAAAACCCACGTACATGCAGCGCCGCCCCAAGCAAAACAACCTGAGCCCAAACCACCACAGCCATGCCCAGCCAAAGCAGTTGTACCAACACCACCACCGCCACCACCCTACAAGAAAGAAGAGGGAACACCCCCATCTGCAGCCCGTGCAAAGGCTGATGCCGTTGCACCTCCACCTGCCCCTGTGGGGAAAGCTTTGGCTCCGCCACCGGCAAGACTGTCGAACGAAGCCGAAGATTCGGCTTCCACAGCCAAAGCTGCCAGCGCCCTCATCCCCCCCAAGCAACCCCCAGCTCCCAAAGCAAGCGTTGCAAGCCCCCCTTCTTTTGAAGACTTGGTAGCGTTCGAGAAAAAACTTTTGGACGAGATGGAAAACAAGAGTGATGCAGAGATTGAAGTCAAAATCAAAGAGGCCCACAACCATGTTCAGTTCAACGCTTACATGAAACACATGAAGAAGGAGTTCGAGTTAGAGGAAAAGGATTGGTGCACCTATGAGCCTCGTGAGGAACTGGTGGGTTTTTACGTTTGGTTAGAAGAATACAAAGCAGTGTTGACACCGTGCAATGTCGCCACACCCCAAAACAATCATGTGGTTCCAGCCGTTCCAGCACCGCCTCCCTTGGCACAAAAAACAACTTGCACCCCCCTCCCAGCAGCCCCGAAAGCCACAGCATCCAAGGCATCATCGCCTCAACCCAAGACAACAGCATCAGCATCAACGGCATCCCTCACGGCCAGCGCGACACCGCCAGAGCCAGCACCCGTGCGAGCCAAAGCAGTTGCATCAGCACCCGAGCACTCTCCCACAACACCTCAAAGTCCTGCTGATCGTGTACATGTAGAATCAACTGACAAGGCTGATGTCCTAAGGATGTGTCATTTTTGCACATGCATGTGCTCATGGGTATTTTATCAAACAGTCTCGTTGTTATAAAAGCAAATGATAATTGTACACACGTACGTACACATGTTTATGTACGTATCTACAAAACCTCCACCAGGCGATCGTGCCAGAAGACTACAATGAGAGACAAGCTCTGCAAGGGGAGTTCAAGAGGCCTTATCTCATTCATTTGTCACCCCAAAAAATGAACATTGTTGTTGATGTGGTTATGGTGTATCTTTAAGAAGAATTCATTTCTTCTTGTTCCAGGAGGATGAAAAATCCCGAAGCCCATTGCATTCCGGATGATTTCGTCACACTTTGGAAAGATGCTGTGACGAACAATGCGAAGGCTAGCTTTGAGACTTTTCCCATTGTCCACTCACAGAAGCTTCGATGTTTGAATATAACCAATGTTTTAGGGCCCAGAAAGGGGTGTAGCGTGTAAATGGATATGCATGGGGACCCACAAAAAAGTTTGGATAGGTCAACTTCAGTACTTCAAAAATTAAAGGTGATATTAACATCCGTGGCCCACCATGCAAAATAAACTATGTTGACCCGGCAATACCCATATATCAGGTGATGCGATTGCAAAGTTACATACCATCCAGCACTGACCGTAAACCAGATCTCAAAACAGGCAACGAAGACGGCTCTCTTTGAGAAATGGTTAACGGCGGGGAAGGATTGGAGCATGATACTTGCAAGCAATACTCATGCATGAAACATATATTCTGTAAACCACTGGAATTGAAAATGTTCCCTTTAAACCCTCATTCAAGGGAAATTTGTTTCTATGCAGATGAATTTACGTTCCTTCATGCAAAAAAAATGTTGCATGGTCAACCTAAGAATATTTAGCCACCCAGGGCTTGTACCCTATTGGCTGAGGCTTCGGGTGGAAAGCTTTAGGTCCCACACGGATCGCACAACTTCCAGAAAGAAGATGGGAAACTTGTCCTGGGCAAGCGGTTGGTTCTACACATCGTCAGTGTCTGATATCAAAACCATGTTTATGTTGTCGATACCTAAGGATGGAAAACACGTGCGCAAATCATTCAGATCCATGGTGGGGATGCAGCTGCTGCCGATCGTATCATAGCCAAGAAGGAAAGTGAGGGTGCTGTCCAAGACCACCATGATGATGATGAGCTGAAAACATACTACGTGCTCCACTTAGAATAAATATATATAATAATATATATATATATACTCACTACTTTTGTGAGTTGCTTTTGCTGTGGGATGATTCCGGTTGAACCTCTAGAAACTCAAGTTATAAACCCTCTAAGGTGTGCATAGAAATTGGAAAGAAGGAAGAGGAGGAAGTGGCAGATCATTTCAAGTATGGCAGTTCTGCAAATATCAACAATGGTGGTGAGGCCTGGTTATATTTCATGCATGCACTGGTTATGTTTCAATCCCGACTATGATTTCCCTCAACAATAACAATTCCGTTTGCCACCCGTCACCTCAGGCCGCCCTGAAGTTGACCGCTGGCTTGGACCACTCCCAGGTCCTTAGGCCAAGTGGCCGGCTGGAGCGTCCGGCCTCGTACCGCAAGCCCACTCCTGAAGTGGATGTCGGGAATGGGAGAGTGCCCAGGGCCAAAGCCAAACCCAAAGCAGGAAACAGGAGGATCGGTAATGGTGAGGATGTCCCACGTAAAAAGGACAAAGAGATCCTCGTCATATATTGATTTATAGATGTGGTTCGACCAAAATATATAATCTGGATTCCCCCAAATTTAGTTCCACTCCCAAGGATGCCTGACTACAATGAGATGCCGATTGCCGCTACCCATTGGTTGGTGGACCAACTTCTGAAGGATTTGCAGACCGCAAAGGTGCTTCCCATTAAGATGGCCAATATGAAACATCAGGATGGGTTGCGTTCTTTGGCTAAAACATCATGAGTTTTGATGGTCAAGGTAAAAGCTTGTGGCTTATCTATGTTATACTTGGGTTTTGAATCAGCCCATGAGAAATCGACAACCAAGCAATGTGAAAGTAACATTCAATTTCAACATATATATAGTGCCTATGTGCGGTCAGACACTGAGGCACAACTTTGATGGAGCACGCCAGGGACCTGGAGAGCTCATACTTCCAACTGAAGGCAGTTGCGGATCAGATCCCCAAGGACCGGTGAAATTTTGAATAAGATTTGATCGATCTTGTATATCATGCATCACATCGTCAATATAGATTCTCGTCATCCAACATGGATCCTATAATTCCCCGATCAAGTGTTTCCTGTTATACTGTTCATTCCCCAGACTTTCCTCATGTTCCAGGATGCAGAATCTCATGCATTCCCTGACCTTGGGACTTGGCTGGGTATTGCTGTGAATCTTCGTGCGGCGTATTTGGAATCAGCTGCGATGGCACACCAACTTTGCAAACCGAAAGGTGGTAGAAGGAAGAAGGCCCCAACACATGAGACAATTTCACGGCTGAAAGCCAATAAAATCAAACTGCATAATTATGGGGCAGTTCACGCTATATAGGGCATTCAGATTTTATTGTCTTTCGGCTGGGGGGAGTTTCCAAGCAATCAAGATATCACAGCCCTGCCCATACGATCTCATCCAACCAATCAGCTCCTTTACCCGGCAAGGCCGATGATGAGTTCCAGCCTGATGCATGAGCTGGGCAGTGCAGCGACAGTTCGGGTTCGTGACTTCGATGACTTGGGGAAATGTCATCACGGGCCATGCCAAAAAAAATGGCACGAGCCTTCGTTTACATCATGTCATGGGTAATGCGTGGGCATCTTAGAATGACACTAGCCAACCCATATAATATATATACCATGAATTTCATTTTCATTTTTGACTGGAGAGGCTAGTTGATCATGTGATGCATACCATGCACTGGAGAGCCAAGCGTGCGAATACGTACGCATGGATACGTGAAATCAAAATCCTCAGCGGCCAAGCAAGTCAAAAGGGTGCAATTGTGCTCACCCACAATCAAATCACAATACAGGCTGTCAGTGGCAACTCATGGTGCCAGTGGGGTGGTTCCAACACTGGCATTGGAAATTGTAAGAACATTAGCACCATTGCCAAGTGTATCGCATCCATCTCTTGTCGCAGGATTGCTACGCCATGAGGAACATCGACATCGGGATGACAAACGTCCACGCCGTGACCAGGACAATGCAGTCACCCAATGTTCTTTATATGTGTTGAAAGGCTATACATATGGGCCATGTACAAACCAAAACTTACATGCCTATATATAGAGAAAAAATATTGTTTGCACACGCCCACAGATGCCATCCCTTTGCCAAACCTCCACTTGGGTCGGCCTCGCACATCGCAGGAACAGAATGTCACTTCTGGCCAGCCATCCGTAGTGCCTCGGGTACAGCTGCGGCCATACGTCCTGCCCCAGGCCAAGGATGCTTTAGAACCTTGGTACTGTGTTGATTTTGGGGTCCAACAATCAACAGCCATGTCAGGAACCTAAACTGGTACCTACCATATTTCCATATATAAGACCTATCTGAAGGTATGTAACTAATGGTAATATCACCACAATATATGGCCAATGAATTTTGTACCTTCACTTTAAGATCTTGAACTTCCCATAATATGAAACAACTATAGTGCCTTTTGTTTTTCGATATGGTGCCAACAAATGCCGTTGAAAATTAGGGATCGCCAAAACCATGGGTTGATGAAAGGTATTCAAGTCTACATTGATTTGGGATATACCTGTTTTGGGAAACCTACAAAAAGAATATATCAACAACTTGCAGTTTGATCAAACATTTTCTGAATTTGGAAAAGTTTCAATTTGACGTATTTTCGTGGCGGTGCCAAAAAAAATGTTGACCCTTATCTTGAGGTGCACTGGAAAATACATGGTTAAACAGCTGCCATGGGATAATTATATCCTCGATCCATGTTTAAACAAAATGAATATTACCTTTGGCAAACCCCCTCACTATCATAATCAGTATTCCTTTATAGTTGGAACAACGCTCCCAAGTATATTTGTAATTGCCATATAGTCTTCCAATTCAAAAGTTGTCGATATAACCCGCGAAGTTTAATATTCATATCCCACATGTCCCAATGCGAAAATAATGGTATATATAATTGTATAACCCACGGTTAAACAGATATATGGGGTCACCCACTGAGGAACAACTCCAACAACGTAAACGGGCTACTCCACAGCCTAATCTGGCTGAGCTATTAGTGGATGAATTTTCATCAGGAGCATCAAGTGCGTCTCGCGCTCCCCGGTTCGAAAACAGTGTTTCAAGTGCCGGACTTTGAAATAGTTTTTTTGATCGCACATGCCGATGTTGTTTCCATCCTTCGGTCTACATATACATTATATCTTAAGAACCAAACATCAACAGATAACCCATACTGTATATATATATATGACAACATGCCTGGGTTTCACTGTGGCCCGCTGAAGGTTCAGAGGACTGCATCTTCAGCACTGCGCTGGCTGCACAAGCACGGTGGCAGCACAACCAAAACGGACATGGTTGCTAGAATTTCTGCTGTTGGCGCCGGAGGCCTTCATCAGAACAATGCTGAGCGTGATCTTCATCGGCTTCTGCAAAGAGTGTCGCTGTCCCTTGCTGCAAAGCATGAAACCGTTCAGGTTCGGATGGTGAACCCGTCGACCCTGGAGATTGGTTGGGAACCGTTGCCGGTGCTGTTTCCCGATGCTTTGATCGAGGCTTTTTGGGAAGCTGGTGAGGATGTTTTCCGATATTGCCTTTTCGGCATGAAGACCGAAGATGAGATACGTCAGATTTGGAAGCACATGAAGAAGCATTGCCAGTGGGTTTCAACACACCCAGCGTCTGGTTGGAAGTGGCAGGGGAAGGTGGCAAGCCTTGGAATGTATGGAGACGAGATCCAATGCTACAGAAACAGTGAGTGTGGGGTGGTCAGTGTGACGGCCTGGACATCAGAGTTTTGCACTGACAACATTCCTCTTCTGAGATACTACCCGATCGCTATTTGGTCAGAGCACTGCGAGTCCGAGTTTACGTATGGAGACCTGGAACAACACTTGCTCCCACGATGGCGCCGATTGTCTGACACATCCGAGACTTGGCCTTGGACGGATGCTGGATATCTGATGGCCTACACTTTCTGCCAGGGCGACCTGAAATGGATAAATTCCCGCATGGGTGGTTTACATAACTATAGGCGCAACGACTTTTGCAGCCGTTGTGAATGTGTGAAGAATGATCCAAACCCAGCGTTGACCTTGCCGAACATGGGTGATGATCCAGACACACACGCAGTTCGCACCTACTCTTCAGAGCAACTGCAAGCCTTTTCCCCGCTCCTGGGGCTCCCTGGAATGTGCCTCAGCCGCGTGATGCACGATGTGGCACACAGTCAATTTCTTGGCACAGGAAAAACAACAAATGGTTCCTTGGCTTTGGTCTGCATTGATTTATTTATTTTAAGTTTGAGCCCCGGGGCAAACATGTAAAGGATTTGTTGTGTTGCTTCTAGGACCAGATTTGCCGTTCAGGAGCCGCTTTGATTTACATGGCTGAAGCGGGCTACTGGGGGCCAATGATGTACCGTGCTGGAAAGTACGAAGACCGTCTTGCGCCAGTACTTCGCCGAGCCCATCGAGACTTTTTGTTTTTCAAGAAACTCGAAAAGCTTAGTTGCAGCCAGCCGCGCTTCACACCGGCCAGACTGAACCGAAAGCTCCAGACCAGCCCTTTAGCTTGTGGGCAAACTTTTTTGTAGTCTTGGAACTGTTCCCGAAGCTCAAAGAAGGCCACAGTAGGAGGACTGCAAGAGACATCCACCTTTTTTTTTGGGAAAGTAAATGCCCATCTGCGGGTTTTGATGGGGCCTGGTTTTTGCTGGTTTGCTTTGTATGGCTGAGGTTTCCCTGCGCTGCAATCGAAAGCTGTGGCGAGCAAAGTGATCACTTGTTGGCTTAGCAATAGAGCAGTTCAATTTGCTCAACGTCCTGGTGCGACGAAAGCTGACCGTGTCATGTCCATTTGCTTGTATTCATACTTCAGGATGATTCAGATCATGGATGGGGCGAACCACATCATGACTGAGAGTGAGGCGGCAGACTTCCATGGGTGCACTATGAGGCACTTGCGTGCTTACATTTGGCTCCACCAACATGGGATGTCGATGCATGCTCCACGGCAGATGCCTGGGAGAAGGTGCTGGCTGCTGCTGCCAAAGCTCCACCATTTGTGGCACCTAGCTTTTGACACGCTGGAAACTTTGATCAACCCCAAAAACAGTTTGCTCCTATCTGCCGAGTCGTTTGTGGGTGAAATTGGGCGAATAGCCCGGGCATGCCACAGGAGCACAGTGTCCAGGCGAACTTTGGATAGATGGGCTGCAAAGATGGCCCTAAAGTTAGCAGAGCTTTCAAAGCAGTTGCGGGAGGATGAAACCCAGGCATGTTGAAACTAAACTATTTAAAAGGTGATACAAGATTAGTTATCCTTTACCTAGACATTCAACATTCTTGGGCACCGAACGTCACAAGAGCTGCGCATTTCAGCGCGTGGAAAAACGGCTTGTTTGAGCCAAGGCAGTCCCCCAGCCAGGCCTGAACCCTCACCAGTTTGACCCCGAGGGTCCCTTCCTCCATGAGGGGTCCACATGACTTTGGATCCTTTGGGCAGCAGATATCACCAACAATGTTTTGCGGATGTTACTAACCAAGAATGCCAAACAAATGTATAGTAGCTAGATGGTTAACCAATAAAAATGGTTTTACAAGCGTGGAAACTGGGTTTGTACACATTTTTACAAACCATATACATCCATATACAATATGTCTTAAACAATGAAGACCTCCCTGCAACGCTATTCATAGCAGACGGTTAACCATCCCAAAATGATTTTTCACATTGAGGCTGGCCAGCCAGGAACGCGGGGAGAAAAGCATTCAACAACTGGAACATCTTTGATTCAGTTTGCTATTGAAAATGGCCATATATCATGGATTTACCCATTAAAAATGGTGATTTTCACGATTGAAACAGACGATTGAAGAACCATCGGTGCAAAAGTTCAAAAGATATGATTCATGATGTGAAAATCTTTGAAGAAACAACAAAAGCAACAACATTGTGTCCGATAATTTTCGGAAATGGGTCCAAAAAATATGGGGGGGTATCCAACAGAACCCATGACAACATGGTATTTTTTTAGCCATACATGGCAGCCTGGCTGCTGTCTTGATGAAATCTGTAGAATCTGAACACATTTGGCCTTCTCAGTTCAGGCAGAAAGTATCCTGGTGAACCATGCTAAAATCTGTTTAAAGCCTCGATAACAATCTGGTTGTGCCTTAGAAATTGGTACCCCATTCCATTGGATTCCATTGGTTCATCATTTTCCCTATTGACATGGCCATTTGGAGGATTGGTTCCCCATTTTCAGACCTGAAATCATCCAAAATCCATGGAATTTATCCCCAATGAGCTGCTGAGATCCCATGAAAATCCCATCCAACATCCCCATCCAAAATCTCCCATCCAAAACTCACCCCATTTTCCATGCGCCAGAACGGCCTTCCGTCGCCTGGCCTTGCTGGTGCATCCGGACAAGAATCCGGGCGAGGAGGCGGAGAAGTCGAGCGGTTCAGGCACCAAAAAAGTAGGGAAACATGGTGAGTTAACCTGTGAAAACTGGAGAAAAATACTAAGGAGAAATGGTGAGTTAAACAGTTAAGCCACCACAACTGACATTTTTGACCTATCAAAACCAAAAATGTGAAGGAAAACATGGATTTCACCCAGCAAAAGTATGGACATGTGAGGAAAAAATGGTGAAACTTGAAAGAATTTACAGTAAATCCACGAAATTTGGCGACTATATAGATTTAGGAGAAATTGACCAAACATGAGGATATAATAGGATATACATCATTGTTATGGGGATACATGACAGATGTAAACTCTCATAATTCAAGGAAATAAAGGAATAACGCGGAAATAAGGTTTAGGATATGTGCAAATCAATTGTTTCGGATTGAAATCCAGTTTGAAAGGGTTTTGATCAAATTGTATTGAATCAGGTAACTGCAGCCATCCACATGACTCATTTCGTGAAGAATTTGGGTGACAAACTACTGGTAGTAGATGTTCACAGTGTAGGTCAGAATAAAGTATGCGCAGAAAATAACAGGAGCCATAAAGAAACGAATGCAGACACCTAAAGAAATCAGCCAAAACAAATACTTACAACATCTTACAAGAGCTCATTGGACTTGCTCCACAGCAGCAGCTGTTGGTGTTGGGCATGAAGATGGAAATAATCTATATACATTCTTCAATTCTTCAAGTCTGTTCGCTTTTGATTGAAAATTTTGTTGAACCATGTTCATGTTTATTTCTCTTGGTCTTTCGTTTTTACATGTATGGTGTTTAAAATTATTTTGACATCTTTTTTGCAGACAGAAGCCTTGCCGCCTGCAGACAATTTTTTTTTCTATTAATCTTTAAAAAGGCCCGCTGCAGGTGCCACTTTTGAGCATTTGAATTGTCGCTCAAAGAACATTACTTCCACCAATTTGAAATCAATTTAAAAACTACATAGACACTACGAATATGCATTGGATTGTTAAGGATATTTCATGTATTCATATGTTCTAATGTGTTCATTTTTCATTTTGATATCTTACCTCTTTTCCGAAAAAACTGTTTTTTTATTTATTGAAAAACAATGATTATTTATACAAAGTTAAATCTGTCTAATTTTACTTAATGTTTCCATTATTTTATTTTTTAATTTGTTTTTATTTTTTTTGATTATTCATGTTTATTTTTTTCCCTTATTTCCACGGAAATTCCTTAAATTCAAGGCCAGCCCTTGAATTTAATTTAAGGAATTTCCGCGGAAATAAGGAACAATTAAACAAATAAACAATAAATACAAACTATTTCAATAAAAATAAAAATATGTTGTTTTTGTTTAAATGTGTAGCGTCTATTTTTAAATTGTGTTCAGATTGTTGGAATCAATTCCTTTTGGCGACGATCCAAACACTCAAAAGTGGCGCCTGCGGCGGGCCTTTTCTAAAGATTCATAGAAAGTATTGTTTGAGCAGCCGGTCTGCCTGCAAAAAAAATATGGCAAAATTACATTGAAAAGATCAGTAAAGAAATGAAAAAATAACACGAAATCGGGCCGTCTCTCGAAATTATTTGCGTATCCATTTTTCAGCCAAGGATCCCCGCACATTTGATTTGATGCATTTTGTATACTACTGCATGCACCTTATTTCCGTGGACAGACCTTAAATAACTTAACCCGCCACTTTATTTACGAAAGTTAACAATGACAGATGCTAGTATAATGAGGGTAAACTTGCCTTCTGGTAATTTGACAGGCAATGGCAAGTCTTTAATCGGAATATGGATACTGATCTCTGCGGGATTTTCCATTGGAGGGTCTATTTACGAACCATTTTATGAGGATAAGTGGGGATGTAAGGGGATACAATGGGGATAAGATGGGTATAAGCCAAAATTTTGCATCATTGCAATTTGGCAGAATTTGACCAAAGGTGCGGGCTTAGTAAATTTTGTATTCACGAATTGTCTCGCGTATTTTGAACATGTTGGCATCAACCTAACTGGAGCTCCTTTGCCAACAGTTGGGTGATCACTGAAGACAAGGATATCACCAGCACATAGGACATTTAGGACATGAAAGCACGAAAAAGTTGCCAGCTTGATCCAACTTGGATCATGAAAAGCGGTTATGCAAACACTTGATCAGAAAAAAAATATTGAAACGCATCCAATGCCATGAACCATCCCAAAGTCATCACCATTTCTATGGCTTAACTATCCCCGGGGCTCCATCGCTTCGAGGAGAAGTGCCATCAAGCCTTGCTGCGTGCGCAGCACGCGCGCGAAGCGGCTCTGGCCTTGCTGTCTGCTCCACCACCGACGGTTCCAGCGTTTTTTCGGCTGGAGATGTATCACTGAGATAAGCTGGGAATATTTGAAGCTTGGGAGATTTAGCATGATTACCCTCTGGTTATGTCAAAATAGCTATTGGAAATGACTATTAATAGTGGATTTTCCCATGAAAAATGGTGGATCTTTCAATAGCTATGTTAGAAAAAAAAAGAAGGTAAGCCAATTGGCGTCTCTGAGAATAGGGGTTGCATTGGTTGCATCTCAAATTGCAAGTTCAATAGCTAGGGAGGATTGATGAAAATTGTTTTCAGGCGCCAAAGGTTGGTCTGGATCAAGTTGCCTAGACAATTCACTCATGTTAGTACAGCAATAGTAAACCAGCCATGTAAATTGAGGGTTTACAGCACCCATGTTTGATGAATTGGGGGATGGTTTACTGCTGCTTTTCTAACATCAGATATTTGAAATCTCACCATTTGTAGATCACTTTCCTTGGGAAACACATGGAAACAGATAGTGATTGATAGTGTATAAACCATCCGCGTTTATGAAGGTTTATGGATGCCATAATGGCAGTGGCTGAATCCCACATTACATCCCATAGGTATCCATGGGTACTTAGATGGGCCATGGGATTAACCAACTGGTTAGTAACTGGGGATTTAAGTTACCCTCTATATCCCAATGAAATAATCCATTTACTAACTAGTTAACTAACTCCATGGCCCATCTAAGTATTGATGTTGATCCCAACCTCCCAAACCTTCGCAGGCCGCGAACGGACCTGTTGGGACTCCTAGTGCGACCGGCAGCGGCGACCGTGGCCCGGGACCGCGGCGCCAGGGGCCGGCACCACGTCCCAGGCGCTTCGGATGGGTGTTATTGGGCGTATACTAGGTTGCACAATGTTATACACTATATTACACTATGTTACAGTATGTTCTAAACTATGTTATACTTGGTTTATTTATGTTTATTTGGGATTCTGTGGGATTTTGGTGCAGACATGACAGGGTAAAACACCATCATTTATAGGA